TAAAGTTTCTGTTGTCAAAAGAGTAAAAAAAAGGGCCCAGTGATGTCAGAAATTCCACCATCAACCAAAGCGCTTCAGAACTTCCAAAAACAACAGACTGACTGCCGAGAGTTATTGCTTTAATATTCTGAGGGAAGTGGAATGAATTGCTGAATGTCTTTCTGCAACAGTTGTAGTCATGCCAAGAATGTTTGTCAAATCCCCTGACGTTTATCGTCTTGCAGTAAAAGGGTGTTTATGACACTGTTACAATAACACAGCTCCACGACGTGGAAATTGCTCGAGAAACGATATCACTAAACCTCGTCCTTGAGAGGCAAGCTGACAGTGGCCAAGACACTGGAGGAAACGCAAAAATAAAACGACAGTCATGGAGTCATTAAGATCGGGAGCACGGAAAAAGGCCCCTCAGTTCATTGAGTCTATCCCTGTCAACAACAGCCACCTACTCATTCTAATCTTAGGATGTAGAGCTTGCTATCATATCGAGCATTTGGAATAAATAGCAGAAGTCATAAGTCATAGAGTCATACAGCACAGAAACAAACTCTTGAGTCCAACTAGACCATGCTGACCATAATCCCAAACTAAACTAGTCCCACTTGCCTGCGCTTGGCCCATTTCCCTCTAAACATTTCTTATTCATGTACTTATCCAAATGTCTTTTAAACATTGTAACTGTAGCCACATCCACCACTTCCTCTGGCAGTTTAAATCTTCCTCCTCTCACCTTAAAAATATGCCCCCTAATCATGAAATCCCCCCTACCTTAGGGAAAAGACACCTGCCATTCACCTTATCTATACCTCTGATGATTTTGTACACCTCTATAAGGTCACCCTTCACGAACCACCCTCTGTGTCCTCCCACGTCTCCTTTAATCTTTCCCCCTTTTACCTGAAACCTATGTCCGCCAGTAATTGACATTTTTTATCCTGGGGAAAAAAAAAACTCTGACTATCCATTCTATTTGGGGGCCTTTCATAATTTTGTGAACTTCGACCAGTTCTCCCCCTCATCCTTCGATGTTCAAGTGAAAACAGACCAGGTTTGTTCGATCTCTCTTCATAGCGAGTACCCTCCAAACCAGGCAACGTCCTGATAAATATTTTCTGCATAACATCGACATCCTTCCGGTAGTGTGGCAGACAGAGCTCTACACAAAATTCCAAAAGTAGCCGAACTAGAGCTCTATACAGCTGCTGTTCATCTTTGTTACGCAATATAATGTTTGTTTGGATTTTTTAAAAAATCTGACTGGAATGTCAATCCTTTAACTATATCTTATTTCTAACTTATTCTTTAAACACTGTAAAGTAATGCAACTATTTTTCCTTTATATTCCTCTTGTATCTAAGATGTGTGCTTAGGTATTTGTACCTAAGATGGCGCTATAAGAGGCGACATTGTAAAACTTTCCACTGTACTCCTGCACCTGAGTACGCGTGTCAATAAAATTCTATTCTAGTCTATTCTATTCTATTCTTGTTAATGTTTGTCCAATTTCTCTGTGCACTGAGTCCCACTCGAACTCTTGGGACTTCAACTCGACAAGCTGGGTCCAATTTACCTCCACTGTACACACGTGTACCTGCTTTTTGCCACTGCCACCTTGAATTTCTCCGATTTACAGAAAAAGAACATATGTACAAGCATTTCAAGGCAGCAGAATACTTCCGCCTCCTGGTGCCCCCTGAGCTCGTTTCATATCACTAATTCTCCTTGCTTCACTGTGATCTGCAAAAACACAGGCTTGATCTCAGCATAGGGCATTGATGTACCTTTTCCCATTTTATAGTGCAGAACGCCTGATCAAAGGGTAAATTAGATACTTCTAATGAGATTCTGTTGAATCTGCATCCTTTTACTGACCTGCCTGGAATTCCAACGTTTACCCTTTCTCAAAAGAACAAAAGCTCCACACAATCCCACAAATGAAAGGAAGAATTTTTTGTGATGACTTTTTGCAGCCAGTGCTTACGTGGTGGCCACAGTAAATTCAGGAACACTTCGGAGCACAGCAAGATCGCACCAACTGCACCGAGCGGTTTATCAGTTCTGTTCCTTGCATGGCGGAAACTGCCATAGTGATTGGATTTAATATCTTGATCTCTGCATGACCTTGACCACAAATCCCCTCAGGAGTCTGGAAGAGTGGAGAACTTTTTGGCCAATCAAGTATTGCAACAGATTAAAGGTCAAAGCAGTGCCATTTCCACTCATTCCAATCGTGGCATACGGGCATCGCTGGCTTGGCCAGCATTTATTGCCCATCCCTAATTCCCCGAGGGCAGTTAAGAGTCAACCATATTGCTGTGGGTCTGGAGTCACATGTAGGCCAGACCAGGTAAGGATGGCAGATTTCCTTTTCTAAAAGGCATCAGTGAACCATATAGGCTTTTCTGACAATTGACAAAGATTACATGGTCATCATTAGACTCTTAATTGCAGATTGCTATCAAATTTGAATTCCATCATCTGTCATGGCAGGATTTGAACTCATCCCCAGATCATTTCCTCGCTCTCTCGGTTGATAATCTAGCAATGATGTCACTAAACCTTCTTCAAACTATGTTATGAGGTGCAAATTTCTGAGTTGGCAAATTTGCTTTTGTCTGAGATAAATTGACTGTTCAGAAACTGTCAGCTTCAAAATTGATGCTAATGCAAAATTACATTGAATTTATAAAATCAGGCCATTATCCAATTGGTCTACGTAGGTGTTAATGCATCTCCTACCAGACTCCTTTCACCCAATCAGCATCTCCTCCCTTCTATGTTATGGTGAAAAGTAAAGTTGAGGATTATCAGATCAGCCATGATCTCACAACAGAGTCGATGGGCTGAATGGTCTACTTCTGCTCCAATATCTTATGGTCTTATGTTTGCTATACTTTCAATGTATTTCTGCTACTCGTTCCAAATGCTCTGTATGACAGCAAGCTCTACATCTTAACTCCCCTCTGGGAAATACATTTGCCCCAAATTCCCTCCTGAATGTATTTATGACAATCTTATGTTTATGGTCGCCTAGATTTGGTCTCCTCCATGAGTGAAAACAACACCTTGACAATTACCCCGTTGAACTTCATCATATTGTAATTGGAAAAACCTCTATCAAGTCTTGCCTTCTTGTTTCTGGAGAAAGGGTCCCAGACATGTTCATTCTTTTGCGGCAGCAATAAACTCTCAGTCCTGATATCATCCTCCCCCACTGCTTTGATGACGTTGGAGCTGATTCACACAATTTCCCTTTGTCAATCCTTTTGTGTTTGTTCTCTCTTTCCACTTCCCTTCTCTCACTCAACACATTCAGAATCAACTGAGGCATTCCATCGAGCACTGGATGACAATTTGGATAGAGATGGTGTGCAGGAATATGGGAAGAAGGCAGGAGATTGGCTCTTGGTATTGGAACCAGTGCTGGCACGATGGGCTGAATGGCCTATCACTGCATCTTACAGTTCAGTGATTCTGTGAGGATATGGAGGCCAGTCAGCCCAATCTTCCAATGTTGGTTCTCTGGTAGAGCTATAAAACTAGCCCCTTCTGCTCTTTCCATGTTGCCCTCCAAATGATTCCCGTTCCAATTTTTATTTACCTACCGTTTGAGCTTTACCACAGAATCTGGTTCTACCTTTTTTCTGTCAGTGTATTGCTGCCCATAATAACACAAAAAGAACAATTCTGGAAACAAAAACAGAAATTTCTGGAAAAGCTCAGCAGGTCTGGCATCACATGTGGGGAGAAAGCAGAGTTAACATTTCGGATAGAGTTCTGAGGCAGAGTCTCTCGACCCGAAACGTAAACTCTGATTTGTCTCCACAGAGGCTGCCAGACCTGCTGAGCTTTTCCAGCAATTTCTGTTTTTATTTCTGATTTATAGCGTCTGCAGTTTTTTCAGTTTTTACAAAAACAATTTTTCTTATTTGCTCTTATTTTTTAGCCAATGAACTTAAATCTGTGTCAATTGATTAGTCCACCTTGTACCGGTCAAACCAGGCTCCCCTTCCCCATTCCATCAAAGCCCTCTACGATCTTGAACACTTGTAATAAATCTCGTCCAAGCTTTCTCTGCTCCATGAAGAGCAACACTCAATAGATACGAGAAAGATTATTAATTTAGTTACTTTCAACTGCAAGTACATCCTTTCAGCAATCCAGAAATTATGGTTTGTTGAGGTGATAGCGAAGGGAGTGGTTACATGTTGATTTTATAGAACTGGATTCAAAATGAATGGGCAAACAAACCTGATAGATATTTTCTAACCAACTTATTCAGCGATGCTCTGACACACCTATGGAGCAGGTGGGTCTCCTGGCTGAGAGATAGAGACAATACCACTGCACCACAAGAGCCCCTAAGTAAGCCTCCTAAACCCAATCATTATCAAATGCCTCAGTCACGACAATTCATGATCTCTATACTCGTGAACAAATACGAATATAAGAAATTAAAGAAACAGGAGCAGGAGTAGACCATTTGGTTCCTTGAGTCCACTCTGCCAGTCCATAAGGTGATGTTTGATCGTCTACCTCAATTCCATTTCCTAACTCTATCTCCATATTCCCTGGTTCCCTCAAACCCTAAAACTTTATTGATCCTCCCCTCGAATAATCTCAACAATTGAGCATCCTCTGTTCTCTGAGGAAGCAAATTCTAGATATTCTCAACTTCCTCAGTGAAGAAAGTTCTCATCTCACTCTGAAAAGGCTGACTCCTCATTCTGAGCCCTCAGTTCTGGCCTCCCCAGACGGGCAACCACCCTCTTAAGAATTTCAGTGAGATCTCCCCTCATTCTTTTAGACTTTGTGAAAGTGTTTTCTCACATCACCTTTGCTTCTTTTGCATATTTGCCGCAATCCTATAGCTTAATGTTCTTTCACAAGGGGAATGGTCTCCTCCTGCGCCTATAGGGATGCCACATTGTCAAATGAAAAAAGAAGCTTAATAACCAAAACAGAAAGACATGGCGTTCCCAATGGAGAAGAAGAATTACCGGGTTGACCTTCATTGTTCCTCGGACCTTCCTGGCTGTGGTGGTTGCCATCGTTGTGGTCGTTGCCATGATGGTGGTGGACATCTCGGCCGGTAAGGTGGTCGCCATTGGCTGGCTGACAATCACAGGGGCCACCTCTCCCACCAGCCTCACGGTTCCATTGACCTTGACGTTGGGATGGCTCTCTGCTGCCATGTTAAGGACCTTTAAGCCATTGTAGTAAAGACCAGACATTTGTCCCTGGAATGGGCGGCTCCTATTCTTCCCCCCAATTGTAATCATAGCCTGCGTATTGAAGATTGTCAGCATGCGGCCTGGAAAAGAACAGAGATATTACTGTATTCATTGGCTGGGGCTCTGATCTTGAAGGCACATCCACTCAAACCAATGCACATTACATATGTTGGAATTATTCCACGATAACAGCATGCATTACTTTTCTACAGGCTACACATAACATCCTATCATATAGAATGTTTGAAGTATGACATTCAAAAGCAAGAAGGTTGTTCTCCTGAAAGGACAAACGCAACGCAGGCAATAAAAGCCTCTCTGTCAACCTTATCTGCGTGGCACAGAGCATTAATCTTTCATACGCACTTTTCCTTCAATTCTGACTGGATTTGAGATGTTCTCTGATTGGGGATGATGTGAGAAGTTTACATTATAATCATGAATAAATTGAGATGGGAAATTGGAAACTAAAGTTACGTGTCTACAACAGCGACATCGGCAAGTCAATGGTATATTTAATTCCTCTGTCCGCCTGTGTCTAACTCTGTCATTAACCTACTTTAGCAGCTGCACTCACATAGCTTGCAAAAGGATGTAATTTAACTGTGTTATGTTTCTGCAATGATATCCTGATTAGGTCGTGCTTTCAGCCACTGGAATCGGGCATGTTGTGCACTATTCTTGTGAACTGTTGTACACGGTAATCTAGTACATGTCTGTGCATGCAGTTATACTGTCACTTGCGCCTTGCTCGAACGGGAACCTGGAGGGATGTCGATACAGAAGCAACAGAGCACTGTGGAACCTTTGACTGTCATCGCTGAATGCTGCAGACTGGCACATTCCAAGTTCCAGGAATACGAGCTGAGGGAGGCACTAAAGTTTAGGGCAGCCGCTGCCGAGGAGCAGTGGGGAAAGACCACTATTTGAGGTCTTTTGGCTTAAGTTAAATGGGGTCCATTCAGTTATTGGAACCTTTGGTGCCTCAAATGCATGTAAATATACTCCTGTATGGAACAGATGTCTTTGGTTTGTTGGATAGAGTTAAACTCCAATATTTTTGATTCCTTGATATGCTGCCGTATGGAACTAAGCTGCATTTGTAGCAATGTCTATATATATATATATATATATAAAATATTATGTAGATATATAAAACTTAGCTTGTTTTATGAATAAAGGATATTTTTGAAACAAAAAAAAATCATTTTTGAAAGTGCTAGCTTGGTACTGAAGCTTACTTAGCCTCTGGCCCAGTTGAGGAGCCTCTGCTCAGACACCCCTTCACACTACTGGAGAGTGTATCCATCCCTCAGCAAAGAGGGATGAGCAGTACAAGTATTTTTATTAATTCTTTCACAGGATGAGGGTATTGTTGACCAGGCAGCATTTATTGCTCATCCCTAATTGCCCAGAGGGCAGTTCGGAGTCAACCACATGTAGGCCAGGCCAAGTAAGGATGGCAATTTACTCCCCCCTAAAGGGTATTACTGAACTAGACGGGCTTTTTCAGCAATTAACAATTAGTTCATGGTCATCATTAGATTCTTAATTTCAGATATTTTATTGAATTCAAATTCCACCATCTGCCCTGGCAGGATTTGAACGTTATCTGGGTCTTTGGATGAGTAGGCCAGCGTTAATACCACTAGGCCATTGCCTCCCCTCAAAGTCAAGGTAGACCAGCTACAAAGAAGCGGCAATGTGAGACCCATGTAGTTGTCATGTAACCACACTCCCCAGGAAGCTCTCAATGATGTGGAAATGCTGACTTGGTAGAAAAATGCTGCCTTTTGGAATTATTGCTCTTTAATTGTCTTTGCATACAGATATTGTTAGATCTAAGGGTGCGTCATGTATTCTAATTATAAAATAGTTATTCACAATAAAGTTCCAACCACTGGGGACCTATCTAAAAACTCATTAAAAATGCTCTTTTTTACATCCTCTCCCTTGTCAAGAATTACACTTTTACCTTCAGTGCCGTGTCACGCATCACATTTGCATTTTAAAGTGTTTCATCTATGGAATGCTAATTCAAATCAACTTGACATCATTTTTAAAGAATTCTTCCAGCAATTATTTGTGATTAAATGACTGACAAAAGGATCCAAACCAAAACTTAGATCACAAATTTTAAATGAGTTCCCAAAATCAAAAACTCCTTTCGCAAAGTGACAAATATTTCACACGAGGATGGTCTTAAATCCTATGCTGACGTAAGGCTTTGAAGATTTATTCATGTGAAATCCCTCCAGACACTGTTTTAATAGAGAGGCTCTGTGACCAGTGCTGTCTCATCAGAATCAGCGACACCTATTTGAGCTCCATTTCAGAGACTTGAGAACACTTCCAGTGTGATGATAACGCGGGAAGTGCTGCCCGAGAGGACAAAAGGCCTTATCTAAGGGTTACTATCCAGATTGTTCTAAGGATTGAGCATCAGTCTCCAGGACTTGGACATGAGTGGTGCAGAAGAAAAACAAAATGGAAAATAAAAAGAAAGTGTTTGGGAGGCGCGGAACATAAGAGTTGCTGGAAACCAAGGCATGTTGCCGAACCTTTTCATCTTGATCTCATCAGGACACATGCAAGAGTGCCGCATTTTAAATAGTCACGACAGGAGAGAAAGGTGAAAGCCAACCGTGATTGGCTGAAGTGTCACCGTGGAGAAAGGAAGGGGAACACAAAGCTCTCTAATTCAAAGGAAGATGCAAAGTGAGAACATATTTGTTTTTGTTTGTAGAATATGGGCCCCTGTATATGAATCTATGATGCTTCTTGCAAGCCTGAATGACTCACATTATGAGCTCCAATGATTGTCTTAAATTGCTTGTGTTACTGGAGTAGTCGGGATTGTTCAGCCTGTTCTGTACAATAGTTGAATCACAGATAACATCTCTTTTATTAATTTTCATTTATTGGTTGTATATCTATTAAAGATTGTGAATGGGAAAGTGTAAAGTGACTTGGCAAACAGTAAATTAAATAACTGAGAGGCCATTGTCTAACCAAGAGACGATTGGCTCCAGAGTTGGCCATAGGTTTGAGGTGGAAAGTCATGGAGTAAAATCATCAGTTTATGTGGCCAACTAAAATTGGCAAGCTCAGTCATGCCTACCTCTACCTTGGGCAGACACTGAGCTTTGCAAAGTTATAAGAAGAGCAGGGTGTAATCTCACCCTTATCCAACACCATCAATAAACAGACAGATCTTGTGGGAACTGTGTGGAATGGGTTCCTACTATCTCTGTGTGGAATGGTAGTTACTTTTAGCCTCATATCACTGTCATCATCCAACATACACATAAACAGTTTATAGGTGCAAATTTTCTTCTGTTCTACAGCATAATTTCCAGACATAAGCTTTCAAAAGTTTAGAAGAATCAAAGAGAATAAAACATATATAATAACCATGCATGCATCCATCTGAATATTAAGTCTGAGTCATATTAAGATTTACCTTACAATGAGCGTTAAAGGGACTTTAATGATTGGGATCTTGGGTAAAAGGTGATATTAAGTAACACTTCATTTAGGTTAATTTGAGGTTTCTTATAAAACATTAAACTCTTCAATTGGATGTAAAGTGTCCACTTTAAAAGCAAGCTTATTTTCTGCACATTTACCCAGTGAATTATCATGTATTATGCAAGTTACAATTCACCTTTTTAAGAATTTCATGCATAATTTATTACGAAGCCAAAGGCTGACAGTCCCTTTAACTACAGTTTAATGATGATGAATTATAAGGGTGATTTATCAATATAAAATGAAGTTACTCCATACAAGTTATAAATTACATTAAGTCAAGACTTTTGTTCAATATACACGATTATTTTTTAAATTACTGCTTTTTCAAATAAGACTTTAATGCAAGCTTTAGATGTTTGTTTTAAAAAAAATGAACAGAACAGAAAGCGTTAAAGTTTTTAATGGAGTTTACCTTTCTCTTGTAGCCACTCATCAAATACTATTCCTCTGAATTTTTTGGGGATTTTCGTTTTAGCAATCGCCAGGCGTTCATTATCAATGTTTCCTTTAAAGTTTAAAGAGACAGCTTAAATAACACCTGGAAGGTCAAGGGTTAGTTGTGAACATCTTACATTTTAATTGCACTTTTTTTTGTTGTGATTGAGATTTATAATGTGTAATATTGAGTTACCACACTTCTAACTGACTCTGCAGACTCTCAGCATTAGCAGAATGTCAAGCCTGCAGCAATACTTAATTGCCACTGTTATTTTCCTCAGTTCCTGTCACAGGGGACAGCAATTTAACTTTATTTTGATATGAAGAAGCCACCCTCACCTTTAAACTTCAAACTGCTCTATCTGTTCTGCAAATGCAGATTCCCGAACCCAAGTGTGTTTTTTTTCAAACAGGCACACAACCCCAACTGGTACCTTTCTCAAGAATCACTCTCAGGGATAACCTTCAGAAATTTCTGTATTCCTCCTGACGTAGCATCTCATTTCATTCATCTTTAATATTCTTCACCAGCCATTGGAGGCTGTGCCTTCAGCAGCATTCCTGGTCTCTGGTTTTAGTCAGGCCAAGACTTGGTTGAAATTAGTTGAAATTACCAAATAAATATCGCGCCCCCCCAAAAAAAAACTTCAATCCTATTCTCTTCTTTCAAGAGCTAAATGACTACATGCACCCTTCTCACATCTTTGTTTTTTATCTTATTCATTCACAGGTTGAGGGCATCGCTGGCTCGGTCAGCGTTTATTGCCCATCCCAGAGGGTAGTTAAGAGTCAACCACATAACTGTGGGTCTGGAGTCACCTGTAGGCCAAACCCGGTAAGGATGGCAGATTTCCTTCGCTAAAGGGCATTAGTGAACCAGATGTCCTTTTCCCCTCAACAATGATGGATTCATCACCATCATTAGACTGTTAATTCCAGATCTTGAGTTCAAATTCCACCATCTTGCACGGTGGGATTTAAATCTGGGTCTGTGGATTAACAATCCAGTGATAATACCATGAGGCCACTGTCTCCCAGTCTCTAGCAACTTCAGTTTGGAACTTTTGTCTGTGATATGTGTATTTATGTTTGGGAGAGACAGTGTATGTGAGAGATTGTACATGTAACAGTGTACTCATGAATGAAAATGAGTGTTCGATTGCATGTGAGAATGTACGTGTCTGATAGTGTATGTGAGAGAATGAGGGTGTGTGTGTGTGTGTGTGTGTGAGTGCGAGAGAGAGACTGTGTGCGTGTGCGTGCCTGTTAATGAGAGAAACTGCGAATGTATGAGTACGTGAGATAGACTGCATGTGTATGCATCTGTTTGTGTGAGTGTGAATATGACCCATTTGTGTGTGTGGAAATGTGAGAGAGCGAGAGTGAGTAAGTACGTGTATGTAGCAGTTTCTGTGTGTGTGTGAGATTGTGTGCCCCTGTGGGTGACAGTTTGTGTATATCTCTGTGAGAGAGAGAGAGGGAGAGAGACTCTGTGTTTGTGTGCGTGTGTGTGTGTGTGTATGTGTGTGTTTGTGTGTGTGTGTTTGTGTATGTGTCTGTGTGTGCCTGTCTGTGTGTGTGTCTGTGTGTGTGTATGTCTGTGTGTGTGTCTGTGTCTGTGTGTGTGTGTATGTCTGTGTGTGTGTGCATGTGCCTGTCTGTCTGTGTGTCTGTGTGTGTCTGTCTGCGTGTATGTCTGTGTGTGCGTGTACCTGTCTGTCTGTGTGTCTGTGTCTGTGTGTGTGTCTGTGTGTGAGTGTCTGTGTCTGCGTGAGAAACAGAGTGCATGAGAGATAAAGAGTATGTGCGTGTTTTTTCCCACATCTATCTTTGATCCGAGATTTGACTTGCCAAACCTCTAGGCTCTCCCTGAAGTTTCCAGGAATCAAAGATTAATCTCCACAAATAGAAAAGCACAAATCTTCCATCTGCTTTACCAGAATGCTGCTGTAAGCAAACTCAGGGGCAAAATCACTGAGCCACGAAATGAAGGAAAAGGTAGGCTTCATATAATAAATTCTTTGAGTTCCATTTGCTATGCTAAATATTGGACAAAATTAATAAACAGTCCATTCCCCTCCTGACTGACTGAGAAGGCAGTGAGCCTGGACAATTGTCGAATGGGAAGAGAATTAAAGGATGCCAACTTCAGAATGAAGAGGAATTTCTTCTCTCAAAAGGTTGTGAGTGTTTTGATCTCTTTACCCACAGAGAGCTGTGGGGACAGTGTCCTTGTATGGATTTAGGGATTAGTTGGGGAATCGAGGGTTTCAGGGAAAGGGCAGGAAAGTGTCGGATCAGCCATGATGCTATTGAATGGAGGAGCAGGCTCGAGGGGCCAAATGGCCTACTCCTGTTCCAATTTCTTATGGTCTTTCTCATGGAGTTAGAATGAAGGTGGGGCAGCTTAAGGTGAGAGGTCAATGGACAAAACCTGCTGGAATAGGCCACAACAACACAAGGCCAGATTTTGGCTGAAAAAGAATCATAGAATCCCTACAGAGTGGAAACAGGCCATTCAGCCCAACAAGCCCACACACCCCCCCAAACAGCATCCCACCCAGACCCATTCCCAAGTCTAACCCACCTAAGCACTATGGGCAATTTAGTATGGCCAATCCACCGACCCTGCTCATCTTTGGACTGTGGGAGGAAACCGGAGCACCTGGAGGAAACCCACGCAGACATGGCGAGAATGTGCAAACTCCACACAGACAATCACCCAAGGCTGGAATTGAACCTGGGTCCCTGGCGCTGTGAGGTAGCAGTGCTAACCACTGAGCCACTGTGCCACCCAAAGACTCTGCCATCTCTCCTGAGTCATAATTACAAAAGGCTAAGACAGGCAGAATTTTGAGCATGTCAAAATCCAGGTTTATTTATTTCCCTCAAATTACTGGCATACATAGGAACGTATACCAATTAGGAATAGGCTGAAGGCCACTGGCGTCTCTGGCCTGCTTCACTATTTAACAAGACCATGGCCTGTTTGATTGTGGCCCCAATTCTATTTTCCTCCCTCCCTTCTTCCAACTCCCTTGTTAGTCAAGAACCCATCACACTCTGCCTCAAAAATACTCAGTGGTCAACCCTGCAAAAAAGTTTGTCAGACTCACTGCAGCGATTGTAACGAGGTCAGCCAGGTGGACCTCATAGAATATGAGTTCCCTGATTGGGGCTGCTAACCTGGTCCAATCAGGGAGCTCTGGCTGACTGATATAAACAGGAGTGTCAGACATCCTGTTGCCTCTGAGAGTTGGCTCTGAGAGAGCTGGATCAGTGTCAAGGGCTCTCCACGTGTAAGTAAAAGACAGAATACCGGTCTCTATGGAGTTATTTTACTCACAACTTTCTGAGGCAAGGTAAATTTCTCTTCATCTCCATCTTAAATGCCAGGCCCTTTATTTTAAAACCATGTTCCCTGGCCTCTAGTCTTACCTGTAAGGGGAAACATTGTACTTCAGAATATTCTTCAGTTGCCTCCTCCCCCATGATATAAAGCCCTGATGACAAGTCCCCCAACTTTGACTATTTCCTAATCTTAATGTACGGGGGAAGGCCATTAATGCAGGAAGAGCATAGAGGCTATCACAGCTGAACTGTTTAAACAAACTCTCTGCAGAGCATCCCAACCAGACCCCTCCCCTATCCCCAGATTTCCTATGTCTAATCCACCCAGATTGTGCATCTCTTGACAATTTAGTATGGCCAATCCACCTAGCCCACACATTTTTGGACTGTGAGAGGAAACAGGAGCAAACCCACACAGACACAGGGAGAACATGCAAACTCCACACAGACAGTCACCCAAGGCTGGAATTGAACCCAGGTCCCTGGCACTGTGGGGTAGCAATGCTAACCACTGAGCTGCGATGCGGTTTAACAAAGGATCTGGAGCGGACAACCAATTCCCTGTCCTCCCTCAAAGGTCAGTCTCCTACTGTGCCAACTGGCTGAAGTCATTTAATTCAGCACATAATGGACATTAAACAGCATGATATTTCTCACTCTTTATATCTCATGAGATTCAAGACTTCATTCAAAAGTTTCTTTTTCAGAAAATAACAGTGGAATTTAGTCACCTACAATGTATTATATCATTTAAATAACTTTTAAAAGACAAATTAAATTGGAATGAAATTTCCCCTCATGGTATGAGCAATAGCAGAGAAAAACAACACTTTGCCTTCTTCATTAGACCTTAAAAAAGAGATATTGTCATTTTAAAATGCATTGTCATGGTCAGGCAATGATTTCCCAGGGCCTATAAAGAATGATTTATTTTATCTTTTAATCATTTTAATGGACTAAACATGCATAGTCATTCCATTTCATTTCCCTTATAAATTGCACTTTTAAAAAAAATCAGGCACGCAGCAGACAGATGGTAGGGTCCTGCCGTTGTGCTTATCCAATGAACACTCTAGCTCCAATGGCATGTAAACGTGTCATGGCACCACATTTACTTTCTCAACATCCCCCAAAAGTTTTTCTTGTTTTCAGAGAGAGAAAATAAAACGTTATACCATGGTTCACTGCAATATCTTCTAAGGTAAATGTTTGAAAACATCTGTTTGTGTTTGCCTTTTTGGGTGTGACGTTGTATTTCCTGTAAAAAGTTCCCAGTCGTCATGGTAACCCTGAGTGGAAGTGCCCCTGGTGGTGGTACTTTTGTGATGCTGGGGTCCAGTCAGGCAATGTGGGTGAGAGTTGGGAAAAAAATGGAAGAAATTCTTTGTACCATTTTACATCTCTCTCGCGATCAGTTATTTGTATCTGGCGTCCGGAGAGCATGGGATAAAACAGAATCAAGTCCAAACGATAATAACAAAACCCAAGGCTAGAACCATGGTATAAATTCCAAGAATCAACCACCAACGGATATTTCCATTGAAAGGGCAAATTCCATTTTGGTTGCAACCTTTTCATTTTCAATGAATTGGCACTGGGTGCAGCAAATTGGACAAAGTTCACATTGTTATTTGTACTGTTTTAAAACATCTTGGAATATAGATAACAACAGAGGCACTGACAAGTTGCTTCTATGACCTCCTTCCTCAATGCACA